TAATATAACACAGCAATTATCATTTGCCGGAAATGGGAAATAGCCAAATTACATTTTTGTTGTTTCACTATACCAATATTGTATAAAACTGTTTCCCAAAGTCTGCAATTTGTTTTGTAAATAGCTTTACAGTTAAGTATTTAAGAATAAAGATTATATTGTATGTAAATAATACAAAAAAATTTTGTTTTATATATATCTACAAGACACAAAACATATCTGTAAAAATAACAAATGTGTCTACAAACTTTGGGCAATAAATTAGAACAAGCGCTTTTTTAACATAACAAGTTGACATGCACTTTCAAATACATAAACTACCTGTCAATAACCCTATGTACACCAGTCCTCCTAAATACAAGCCATTTATGCAAATGTGACCATGTCATTTATCAATGTCTATTTTTTTCCAAAGCATGGCAATTATTTTCTACTAAATGGATATACCTTGACGACAGAAAAAAGTGCAGTGATTTTTATGCATTATATCAAGTAAAATAAATCAAGCTTTATGTATGGACTGAAGTATAAAAAAAAAACTGCAGCAGATTAAGATCCTATTTTTTTTAGATTAGAGGGCCTTATATCATAGGGGTTCCACTTTGAAAAGGGGGTCCTGGCAAAACTTTCAATGATTTTTATGATATTTAAAAAAAAATTCCTAAGAAAAGGGGGGGAAGGGGTACAGCCTAATTTGGGTTGATGTATATGATATTTATAAGTCCAAAGAAAGGGGCACCCTTGAAACTTTCCCTCTTAATAATCCTTTCTCCATCACTGTGCAATGCATGAGAAAAGCTTAATCTGGTAAAACATTTTCTTGTGTTATGAATTGGATCACAGGAAATCCACATCGAGGATTTTGTCATTTCTCTTTTTTATTAACAAGACACTAAAAGCTCACATCTGCTGATAAAAATTGAAAACTAAATGTACTGTAAAAACACATTGATCAACTTGTTAAATTTTAGTTTTCTGATTATGCAAAAATTAGTTTTTTAACACTTTAGTTGCCTTGATCCTGACAATTTAATCTTTTTCTACTTAACCTATGATCTTTATGTGTGTAGTTTAACTTATGTAAACTATATAAGATGGGTTAAACTTAATGTTCATAATTAATTCTTTGAAAATTGGTAATCTGGGAAGATTCCGAGAATAAATATCAGATAACATTAATGGCATAAACAAAGACTGAAGAATTCCCATTAAACAAATTATATTCATTCTGTGAAGACAAAACAAAGGAAATTAGTGTTTAAATTCATAGAAATCAGATGACAATCTTCAGTTTAATATGTTTTAAGAATCTAAATTGTTTGTACTTCTAAACTAAATTAAAGCTAATGTTATTGTGAATTCATTTATTTTCATGGGTACAAATTTTGATGGATATCTGATTTCTTGGTTTTGCCAAAATCTGTTTACTCGCCTATTGAACATTTACACTTTGTTGAACATTCGTTAAAAATTTGGTTCACCTGTACCCACCAAATGCCGATCTTAGGTTTTGAAAAAGGGGAGGCCCGCCATCAAACTAAACAATTTTTGAAGTGGGACATTTAAAAAGTCTATGCATAAACCATAAATGTAGCTCCATAAGGGATGTCAAGGCCCCCTCCAAAAATCCATCTATGCCCACAAAATCCACGACAAATTGGTATCCCACGAATAATAATGATGATGTTTGATGTGTTTACATTTGTTTTAAGTTTGTTTTAACTGACTTTTACATCACTACACATGTAAACAAACATTCATCCTTCCTTTTTAAATTCTCTTTGCATTTTCTTGTCTGTAAATTCTTTGCCTGTTTTCTTTCATCACTTTCATGATAACATCTGTTTTTCTGTAAGACTTGGCGCAATGTTATACAAACTTATACAACAAAGAAATGCTGAATTGTGGGAAATTGTATACAGAAAATTGATTCACTAACCCTGAATATAATACAGAGTATATATACAATGCATATATATATTACAATACTTAACATGAACATAATACATGTACATGAGTATAATTCAACAATGGAAAATTGACACTGATAGATAGAGAGAAAAAAAAACAGATAATGTTACAATAATAATTATAGTATTACTCTGATATGCATGTATTTTAAAAACAACATGAACACCTATAGATGTACATATATATATATACATAAAGTCAAATATATTGTTGATTGATAGTTTATTGCTTTACCTCCAGTTTATGTCCAGTGGCAAATATTTCACACTTTATATCCTTTTTTATACACAACAACAAGGTCAAATTGTTGTATGACGCCCTCATGGATGTATCTCTCTCTGTCTTACTCTTTCTCTCTCGCTATTTATATATATGAGGGTGTGGATAGGGGTTTACAAAATAGAGAAAAACGGGGAAAAAATATAAAGAATATAAAGAATAGAGAAAAATGGACCAAACAAATAAAGAATAGAGAAAAATGGACCAAACAAATAAAGAATAGAGAAAATTGAACAAAAAAAAAAGGATAGAGAATGCCCAATAAATGAGGTGCTAAAATATAAAGAATAGAGAAAAATGGGCAAAAAGTATAACGAAAAGTAAAAAAATGGCCTAAAGATTAAAGAATACAGCAATGAAGGACCCCCCATCCAGACCCCCATACATGTATATGCATACATGCATTTAGAATTTAATAAATAGTGTCACATGTTCAACCATGCCCCCCACACATAGTGAAGTATAAAATGTAATAATTATCCCTGTAGGACTCCATTTATAACTGCATGTTAAGATGTGAGAAGACACAGTACTTATTATATTCATGTCATGAAGGTTATGTTTTTCTCACTGATAAAACACTGTTTCAAGCAATGTCGCCCCCTTCCACAAGTGTGATCATTTATTGAGATTATTAGCATATCTTGACAATTTGACATCACTTTTAAACAGGATCATTATTTAATATGAAATCAGTCTCAACTTTGAACATCTGACAGCTACTGTATATAAAATTCCCCCAAAAATCACCATTTACCGTACATAATGTACATGTATATCATGTTTAATATTCTTAAGTCTTAATGTAAATGACACCTGTAAAATTTAAAATACCCAAAACACAGGGACTTTCCCAAAATACAACTGAACACTAGTATACTTGTTCTGAATTGGTCCGTTTTTTTTCAATTCAATTAATAAATCCATGATCATTGTCCCCCCTAGGCCCTTGTCCATGTATAGTTCAATGCATGCCTGCAAGTTAAGGGATCTAATCTTTGGCATGTTTGGGGAGATATTTACTACTTAAAAACTGTATAAAACCTGAATCTGTTTACTGGTAAAAAATTAACATGAACTGTAAAAACACTACAAAAAGCAATAAAATAAGATAGTTAATGTAACTCCAGGATGTGGTTAAACACATGTAAAGTAATAAATGATGCATAAGGAAACATAAATAATGGATAGGCATGTCTTGACTAAAAGCTATAATAAACTGTACATGTCAACACTAAGTTATTTTGACCTACTCACAAGCTTTAACAATTGATAAGGCATGCCATAGGAAACAGCACAAATAAGTCTCCCTAAATCAGCAATTACTAAGTTAGTCTGGTCAACATGAATGTTCCCCCACCCTCCCATCCACTGCAATATAAAATGTCCAAGGACAGTAATTTTGAGAAAAGTAGGTCATTGGAAACAAACATGATCTTGATCTGCAACTCACGGTTATGTATACACTAAAGTACATCAATAATAAACAGCGTACTCTAAATTGTACAAGGTTGTACTGGCATAAATGAAAAAAAAAAGTTTCCACAAATTCAGTCAGCTAGAAAGAATACTTAGAAGTTATCTTAATACAGTCTTTACGCCTAACCACAGCCCCACCAGCCCAGGCTTGTAAAATTGCTTTTGGGCCTGTAAAAATCGTCTCTACAGGCCAACTGAATCTAACCAAAATTTTCTAAAAATTGAGCTCCGGGGCCTGTGGATTCAAAAGTTTATCGTGAAGACTGTTAATATGCTTCAAAAATGCACGTAATATTTACTTGTAAAAGTAATTTGGTCAGATTTAGCTATAGAAATTAAAATAAAAGACAACATTTAAAAAATAGGCAATCATATACTATATCATGTATATTAGAGCAATGGAGTCGAAAGAAATTAAAGAAAAGACGAATACTCATATTAAGTATAGCAGAATGAATATTCAGTCTGCGATAAATGTCTGAATAACATGAATAATCTGGAACAAACTATAGATACATGTAGATATATGCTTAAAGGTAAAATGAAAATAAGAATTCAATTAGGATATATATATGCCATTAAATTACCACCTAAGAAGTAAGCAAAAAAAATAAAGAAGTTTGTTTCAACAGAATAATTCGGTCACGTAATTGTATTTTTTAATAGGTTTAATTATTCCTTCCCGATGACATTTACCATGTTTAGTATTATATTTCAATATTAGTAATGCATCATAAAAACATTTACATGATTAAATCAATTCATTGTCTGATGCCTTTAAAGCTTATAAATGTATCTATCATTCGATTTGAATAACATGTATTCTGCTTACAGAATTAGTCTTTTAAATAGTCAATTAAACCTGAGGCCTAAAAGCAGGATCACAATGTTGTATTGTTTAATTTGTACTTTGCAGAGTCCCTAGCCAAATGTCTTTGATTTGTAATAGTTAGCAAAATGTGTTATTGCTACCATTTTTGCTACCTATCAGTACTATCCAGTCATATAACATGTATAATACTATCATCAATATTAATATATATATACAGTTTGTCAATCTAAAAATAAGCTTTTCAAAAAAACTTGTCTGGCTTCCAGAAGAATAAATCAGCCATAGCTTATATATATGTAGCCCCTTAAATTTAGCATGTCAACATCAAAAAGCTTCAAGCTCATTTTTGATTTGTATGAGATAATTTGTAATACAGATAATATAACAGTTACTGCCATTTACTGTTATTGAACAATTTTCAATACTATGTTGAACTTACTTTACATCAGCACATGTCCATGTTTGACTTGGAAAGCTTCCTTTACTGTGTTCACCACACGTCACATTCCTTTCATAGATTAAGTTATGGTTTGGAAAGGATCTGTCTAAAAAAAAAAAAAACTAGAGATCTATATATTTTTCAAAATACTTAAAATATATTGGTTTAAAACACTTCTTTTTATCTGAACATGTACATATAAATGTATTTCTTTTAATTGTTTAATTTTAACCTCTACATGCGTGACACATTATGAACATGATGAAAGGTTTAATTCAAAATATTACTCTTTAAATGTGAAACATTATTCAAAAGAGAAAACCACAGCTGAACTTAAGCTTATTTCGTTTAACACTAAATGAAAAACAGCTATCATGATTATGGCAGACAGCAGCCAACAACAACAACAGGATGGATCTTGTTGGTTTGTTGAGTCCCGACTGAGTCTCGACTAGGAACAGGCTCATATTTTTTAAGAATGTAGCAGGTTTAAAGTTGTTTGTAAAAGCTCAACCCTCCCCTAATCTGAGTCAATGGAGTATTTTACACACACTTTAATCACATGTATCCTCAGAAGAGTACAAGTTGTATTTTTCTATTACGATAAAGTTTCCATGGTGACTGCAAATTATGTATTTTATCAGAATATCTGCAGTGCATTTAAGTTCCATAATTTCTACCATTTAACCATAAAAGGTTATTTTTACATTAGATAACCTTTGTCTTTCCAGGATATTTTTGATGGTATGTTTATCAGTGGGATAAATATCAATTTGCATTTAATAAAACATTGATTATAGATGCTTATTCTTGTAATTCTATTTGAATGTAAAACTGCTGACAGAAGCACATTTTTTTATGAAGCATGGATGGGCTTCTTTCTTAAGCCAACCTTAACAGATTCTTTGTTTGATATTGCCTACCCATGCTTGATTGGGTAGGTAGGTAGGGATTTTATTTGTTTTTTGGCCAACAACATAAGTTATATGTTTTAGACAAGAAAACAACATAAGAGCATGCAGGAAAAAATTTATAAAAAAAATTTTAAAAGCTTTGTGTCATAACATTTTTTGGGTAGGCTGCTTTTTAGATGGGTAGGTAGGCAACATAAAAAAAAATCAATAACATACAAGAACAAGAAACGTTGATTTATTTTTTTCTCTCCAAATTTTCAATGGAAACAAACTATTTGTTTCACTTCCCTGCCCTTCCCAGAAACACACATAACACAGTAGTCATTGATTGCTCATGTTACTACAGTACAATCATGACAATTAATTATCTGATTCAAATGTTTAAGTCATAAATTACAATGTATCTTATAGTACATCATGCACATTGTCCATCTATTACAATGTATTTATAGTACATAATGAACATTGTCCATCTATTACAATGTATTTTATAGTACATCATGCACATTGTCCATCTATCACAATGTATTTATAGTACATCACGCACATTGTCTATCTATTACAATGTTTTTTGTAGTACATCAATCATGCACATTGTCCATCTACTACAATGTATTTTATAGTACATCATGCACATTTTCCATCTATTACAATGTATTTATAGAACACCATGCACATTGTCTATCTAGTAAAATGTATTTAAAGTACATCATGCACATGTACATTGTCCATCTGTTACAATGTATTTATATATAGTACATCATGCACATTGTCCGTCTATTACAATGTATTTATAGTACATCATGCACATTGTCCATCTATTACAATATCTATATTTATATTCCACTTTAGTGCAAAAAGGCTTCCCTTTACAATAAAGAATAAGATGAATGTAAATTTTATACATTGTAAAAGATTATACAACTTGAACAATGACATGAATGAATACAAGTTATATTTAGAAAGTAAAACTACATTGAGTAATTGAGAAAATACATCAAATAACTGTTTTTAGATTGTAAATATATATTTGTTTTTAATGATGGTCATAATTATCAGAATAAATAAAACAATAATGTGATTAACATGATTAATAAGGCACTTAAGATGGGAATTCGTACATGTAATTTGTCTTAATATAAAAATAAGGAGATGAGGTATGATTGCCAATGAGACAACTCTGTATCCACCATTCAAATAAAATGAATGTAAGCAATTATAGGCAACCGTATGGCCTTCAACAATGAGAATAAAATGCTCAGCAGGGCGCAGCTTGATACGACCGCAGAGGTCGAACCCTGAACAGTTGGGGCAAGTATGGACACAACATTCAAGCTTGATACAGCTTTGCATTTGGATTGTGATTAAATATTTGACACAGCATAGGTTTCTGACACAGAATGAATGTGGTCTAAGAACTTAAAAATTTCAAATTGGACTTTCACCTATTATGGTCCAATATCCAAAATCTAAATACATGGTTAGATTCAGCATATCAAAGAACCCCAAGAATTCAATTTTTGATGAAATCAAACAAAGTTTAATTTTGGACCCTTTTGACCTCAATGTGGACAAAGTTGATAACGGGGCCCAAAAATCAAAAATCTAAATACATGGTTAGATTCAGCATATCAAAGAACCCCATATATTCAATTTTTGTTGAAATCAAACAAAGTTTAATTTTGGACCCTGATTTGGACCAACTTGAAAACTGGACCCATAATCCAGAAACTAAATACATGTTTAGATTCAGCATATCAAAGAACCCCAATAATTCAATTTTTGATGAAATCAAACAAAGTTTAATTTTGGACCCTTTGGACCTCAATGTGGACCAATTTAAAAACGGGCCCAAAATCCAGAAACTAAATACACGGTTAGATTCAGCATATTAAAGAACCCTAAGAATTCAAGAATAAAACCCCATTGAAATTGGTCAAGAAATAAGCAATTTATACGAAGTATCTTCTTTTGCACAATACTGTGCAATTAAATATTTCTTGCTATTGCGCAATACTGTACAATTGACAATTTCTTGCTATTGCGCAATATTGTGCTATTGGATATTTCTTGCTATTGTGCAATACTGTGCAATTGAAGATTTCTTGCTATTGTGCAATACTGTGCAATTGAAGATTTCTTGCTATTGTGCAATACTGTGCAATTGAAAATTTCTTGCTATTGCACAATACTTATTATATAATAATTTACACATCCTGTTTGGTGTGTATCTCCTACCATATCATTGTTATTTGCTTTTAGATATAAATCAGAAATAACCAACTTAAAATGGGAAAATTTTAAAAGAAAAAAAAAAAAGAAAAAAAGAAAAAAAAGGAAAAAAAAAAAATCCCCCCCCCAAATTTTATGAACCCCCTTATGATTCATCACCCCCAAACTCAATCCCAGCCATCCCTTTGTGGTATGGTACCTTGCAGTACAATTTCAGAGAGATCCATACACTTGAACACAAGTTAGTGTCTGGAAACTAGAAAAATGTGTTTTTTTTTGCCCCTTTTTGGCCCCAAATTCCTAAACGTTTAGGGCAATTTCCCCCAAACTCAAACCCAGCTTTCTCTTTGTGATATGGAACCTTGTAGTACAATTTCAGAAAGATCCATACACTTACACACAAGTTATTGTCCTGAAACTAGAAAAATGCTTGTTTTTTGCCCCTTTTTGGCCCCTAATTCCTAAAATATTGAGGCAATTACCCCCATCATCAATCCCAGCCTTCTCTTTGTGGTATGGTACCTTGAAGTACAATTTCAGAGAGATCCATTCACTTGAACACAAGTTATTGTCTGGAAACTAGAAAAATGCTTATTTTTGGCCCCTTTTTGGCCCCCAATTCCTAAACGTTTCGGCAATTACCTCCAAACTCAATTCCAGCTTTCCCTTTGTGATATGGAACCTTGTAGTACAATTTCAGAAAGATCCATACACTTACACACAAGTTATTGTCATGAAACTAGAAAAATGCTTGTTTTTGCCCCTTTTTTGGCCCCTAATTCCTAAAATTTTGAGGCAATTACCCCCAAAGTCAATCCCAGCATTCCTTTTGTGATATGGAACCTTGTGGTACAATGTCAGAGAGATCCATACACTAACACACAAGTTATGTCTGGAAGTTACAAAAATGCTTATTTTTGGCCCCTTTTTCCTTTACTGTTGGTACCATAACCCCCAAAATCAATCCCAACCTTCCTTTTGTGGTATTGAACCTTGTGGTAAAATTTCATAGAGATCCATTCACTTAAACTAAAGTTAGAATGCGAAAAACCAATGTGTCTTCGGACGACGCCGGACGAAGATGACGCCAACGTCATACCAATATACGACCACAAAAATTTTTTTGCAGTCGTATAAAAACCCATACCCTATAGTCGGCTATAAAAGGCCCCAACATAAAAAATATGAAACAATTCAATAGAGAAAACTATAAACGTCCTAATTTATAACAAAACAGCTTAAGAAAAAAAAATATGAAAAACATGTTTCAATGACAACTATTAAACATGTTTTCATGTCAACGGTTTTATAGTGGATCTAAATGGAATGGGATTATCTCATTGTTGAAGGCCATGTGGTTGCCTATAAATTGCTCACGTCCACTTCATTTGAATTCATTTGAACTTTGGTGGATAGTTGTTTCAATGGCAATCATACTGCATCTCCTTATTTTTATATAGAAAAAATAGAGGACTTAGCAAGTTTAACGAAATAGTTCTCATTTAACATGTTTAATTAAGAATTGAATGCTTGAATGACTTTTTGTAGATTAATTGGGATGTAAAAGCTTGACCAAAGCACACTTTGTAGGACGCATAGAAACGAACATACTATAATTGCTTACATTTACTCTATTTGAACTTTGGTGGATACGGAGTTGTCTCATTGCCAATCATACCTCATCTCCTAAAAATGTGTGCACAGTCAACACTTTTAATTTACAACCAAAAAGAAGCATTGAACTCTTATATAATTACAGTTATACAAATGCAGACTAGAACTATGAAATTCAGGGTTATATCAAGCCTTTGGTAAGTTTTCCTACACATCATCTTGAAACTTGTCAGGGGAGGCAATTATTGTGCAGTCATGAATTTTGCATTTTATTGATAAATACAATTTGATTTTGGAATGCCCCATAATTGTTGTCATCCAATCAAAAGTATGTATTCATATCATG